CACACACACATATATATATAATATATATACATATGTATATAAAAGCTAAAAACCTGGAGGATATATGCCAAGATAAACCAAAGTTAAGGCAGTGATCATAGCATCCTAGTCCTTAAACATAAGTGGCATACTATCTTGCTAACAAAATGTTATTCTAGAAACACTATTATGTGGTCCGGTTCAACTGTGGAAGCTTTTCTTTCCTCTCTGAACTGTAACTGTCTCCTTTACTGAATACCCTTATTTCCAGGGGTATGCATTCACGTTTTTCTCTGAGATGGGATGGGACTCCCTTCCCTCTGTAACGCCTTTAATACTGTGCCTTATCTGTATCATCAGTATTCCCATAAGTTTCTTTTTACAAGAATGAGTTTTGGTCTATGTAGAGGTACAGGAGGAAACAAACAGAAAAAAAAAAAAAAGTAACAACTTTGGTTCCTTATTCTAAGTGGTTATCTAAATCAACTATGATGAAGGAGCAGTTCTCTTTCTCAGGTTAGCAATAGCCTATATCTTGTCACTTGCCTGTCAATTGTTTTGCCTCCTTTAATATCAACAATAAGAGGATATTTGGCTTCATCAGATAAAGCATAAAACAGAGAACATAATTTACGTTTGTGTAACATCTTTGGTAATTTTAGAAAGAAGGTACAAAGAATATAAATTAAGCTCCTAGAGGCTTTCAAACTAAAACAAAAATGAAAGCTTACAACCCTAGATAAATAAATGAGTGCCAGGAGCCTTGCCACAGGTGGAGGGGTGGAGAGGATGTAAGGACTGAGGCTGGACTGACCTATAGCCATTACGTTCTGTCTGTCGCTGTTCGAACATCTCCCCACGAGCCCGGGGCTGATGTGAGGCCCAGTCGACTGGATGTCTTCTACTGTTAGTTTTTTATATTGGGTTGGTGTGATAATATTGCATAACATAATGAACTGCAGTACAGGATTTGCACTTTGGAAATGAACACTTTAGCATGTGCAGAACTCAGTACTCATTAACTCTGGTAACAAGTTCAACCTGAAATCTAATTTGCATTCCAACAGATTAATGCCACCAAGCAGGACGAACTGATGTTTACATTCAGTGCCACACTACTTACAGCAAAGTTGCTCAGGGAAGCCAGCTTTTGGGCCATTTTGCAAACAAAGCAACCTACGTCGGTTATAAAAACGGAGCGTGTGGCCCACTGCAATGGTTCTACAAGGAAGAGTCTTCCATGTCCATGTTGTCAGTCTGATTATCAGGAGACTCCCCGCCCCCGCCCCCCGCCCCGTGCTGCCTAGGTTTTCTTGTGCTGGTAAAACGCTGTGGCATTTATCAAGAATGATGGTTGCTGCCCCCCCCCCCAAAAAGGAAAGTCTGAAACAACCCCTTCCCACCCATCCCCAATACTGCTTTGTGGAATGAATCTGCATTGTTTCTAGAGTGTGTCTCTCTTTCTTTCTCTCTTTTTTCTGTCAGTCATTCTCTTTCTGGCAGGACTTCACGTCTGTGTGAGAGGACCTTCATGTGTAGAGTGCAGCATTTGGGACTTTTTTTGAAAAAGATCAAAACGGAATGTTTTCTGACTTTAGAGAAAACGTGGTGATGTCTGAAGGAAAAATGGAATGAGTGACAGAAAACTACAAACGAGAAATGACATTCAGCTTTGTATAATAAAAACACCTATTAACATTCATCACAAGGTACAGAAAACTTTAAGCCTCCAAGAGGCCATGGGCCCAAATGGAGGCCTGAGGTCAGAACTTAAAATGGTATAGTAGAAGCAAAAAAAAAAAGCAATACATTAAAGTTTGGGATAATTATTTTTAACCCCTCCCCCCCAATACACACACAAAGGCCTTCCCCATCCCAACTGGAAGCAAAAAAAAAAAAAAAAAAAAAAAAAAATGGAGTAAAGGCAGTGATAATCAACATGCAGTACTGTGCAAATAGGTCGTCCATTGGAATCCTTAAATTCTGGGCAAAGGCTTGGTCTGCAGCTTAGGTGTACATGCTCAGTCGGTGTCCCAGTGTCCAACATTGGCAGGACTGCAGTTCAAAGTCTGCTGCTAGAAGTGAATCAGTTTAACAAATTTACAACACTGATGTTGACTGTTAAGAGAGGAAAATCCCAAGTACCAAACAAGTCCATCCAATGCACAGAGTACAAATTCCTTTTTTCAACAAAAAGTAGAAAAATCAAAAATACTCCCAAATGGGATTCTTGATGGCACTAAGAGTTAGTTAACACATTTCAGAGTTGTCAAAATGTAGTGAAAATCCTCCAGACTGTACAACAAATGGAGAACGATTTCACTGCTAACTTTTGACGGGTTTTGTTTTTTTCTAATCTTCATTCTCGGGGTCAGCCCGCCCAGACCTTCACTCCATGTCCTCATTTACTGGTTCGTCTTCATAATCTCTGTCGTGGTCAAAATCTGGACTGTGGTTGGCGGTTGTCACTAAGGATAGAGGCCCTTCAGCTTCCTCTGGATCCACGGGCTCTTCTTTGACATGTACAGGATGCCTGGAAAAACGAGAGAAGGTCAGGGATGTAACTGCCTGACATTACACCAGTCTGAGTGCTTTTGGGGCAACAAAGAAGCCACTCTCTAGAACTGCAGTGTGCAGTGCTATAGAGTTGCCTGCCCCATGTGGCTATTTAAAGTTAAATTAAGTAAAATTTAAAATTCAACTCCTCAGTTGCACTAGCCACGTTTCAGTGGCTCCAGTGCCACTGGTGAATGGTGGCTAACGTACTGCACGGTGCAAGAGACAGAATGTGTCCATGAGCACAGAAAAGTTTTGTTGGGCAGTGCTGTCCTGAAGAACTCAACGCCCAAAGAAAGAAAACCTGTGGGCAGAAGCAGGCCGCTGCTGCATGGTGGTGCCTCTCACGATGGAGTGTACGCGTGACTCGCCTGGGCACCCTGTTAAAATGCAGACTATGATTCAGCATGTCTAGGGCCTGAGACTCTGCATTGTCAACATGCTTCCAGGTGATGCTGATGGTCCCAAGAGGACGGTTTGAGGACCCAAGGGCCCTGTGGTGGTATCTTGGGTGGATGCATCTAAATCTTCAGATAATTACATGAAATAAGAATCTGTACTGCCACAGTGGTTTGTGGGGACCAGTGAGTGCAGGGAGGCTGGGCTAATCATGGCTTGCTGTGTGTTCTGCTTTGCTAGTTAACATGCAGAACCTGTGAAAGAACTCTCCAGAGGACGACCCCAAGCGTGGTTCTATCATTAATCAACTTCAAGCAAACACAGCAAAGAGACACCATGATACATGCTTGAAACTCCAAATTAATGCATATTTTTACAAACTGTCAATAAGGCAAGAAAAGCCCTGCCAGGAAACACAAACGGAGAGGAAAAGGCGTGCTCAACACAACAGTATGATAAGAAAGCAGAGCCCCAATCAGAATAATAACGCTGTCAGCTGTAAACAAGGCAAAACATGAGGCCCGGCTGGTAGCGGCCACCCGGCTGCGTGTGGCCGTGATGAGAGCTGCCAACTTTCTCATTATGGATCAGCACATGGTTCACTCAGAGGGGACTGCGGGTGATCACACAAAACCTCTCTGATAACAATTCAGAAATGTTGTTCGTAAATCATATTTACAACCAATCTTTTGCAAATACAAATTACTTTTTGTTGCACAGCTTTTGATATGTAAAAGAACCATGCACGTTTAAAAAAAAAAAAAAGTCCCATCATTGGGACAGGGCTGCAAAAGGGAGGGTTTTTTTAATGGACAATATCAAGTATTAGTAATAAGAGGCGGTGCTTGGGATGGTTGGCTTCCTAAATAATTGATGATGTATGCAAACCCCAACCACCGCCTGAATCATTTAAAAACAAACAGAGGAGTGCTTTGGACTGCCCTGGAAGATGGGAACCTTCAGAAAACCTATTGACTCTAAAATTAGCACAGCACAGAAAGAGTCTGGGGGTTAGATGTCAGAATAAATAGCTTTAAAAATAATCATGCTTATACTCTTAAAAAATAAAAAAAGTATCTGCGAAACAGAATACAACCAAGTTTCATAACAGTAGATTTTTACATATGGTTCACCATCTATTTTTAGGTTTTTAATGGTTCCATTTATCTGTGTTTCTGTAGGAAGAGCTAGGTAGGGCAGGCTATAAAATTTGTGGGGCCCAAGCAAAATGAAAACATGGGGCTCCTGGTTCAAATTTCTGGAGCTCTGGTAGCGTAGTGCCTAAAGCACTTGACAGCTAAGGAGAAGGCTGGTGGTTCAAACCCACCAGTCACTCCTTGGAAGGAAGGCTGGGCAATGTACTTCCATTGTGATACTATGGAAGAAACCCAAGGAGGGGTTGCTAATGAGTCAGGTCTGACTCGACGGCACATAACAACAGTTCAAATTTCAAGACTGTAAGCACAGAGCACTGAACTAAGGGTAGGGCCCTTCTGAGTGTGGAACCCTGCATTAACTGCACACATACACACACTGCAAGCCTGTGCAGCCAGCCCAGCTACGAAGCTATGTATTCTTTTGGGAAGAATTAGGCATACTGATGCTTAGTTCATTAAAAAAAAGCCCAGAATCTCTGATAAACCCTGATGGCAGTCGGTTCTTCTGGTTTTACGCATCCCTTTTCATTTGGCATTGTATTTTTTACAAACTATAGCTCTAGTAGTGTAGTGCCTAAGGCACTTGACTGCTTATCAGAAGGCTGGAGGTTCAAACCCACCAGCCACTCCTGGGAAGGAAGGCTGGGCAATCTACTTCCGTAGTGATACCGCCTCGGAAACCCAAGGAAGGGTTGCTGTGAGTCAGGTCTGACTCTAGAAGAAGGAATGTTGTTGTTGTTAGGTGCTATAGGGTCACTATTTCTTATTTTGCTAGCTTTATAATGATAATTTTTATGGTTATATGAGATTCCTATTGTGTTGATATGTTGTAGTTGCTGTTGTAAGGGGCCAGCCAGTTGGTTTTGATTCACAGTGACTGTACCTACAATAGAACAAAAGACCACCTGGTCGTGCACCATCTTCACAATTGTTGCTATGGCTGAGCCCACTGTTACAGTCACTGTGGCAGTCCATCCTGCTAAGGGTCATTCTCTTAATACGGGGCATTTTGTGGTAGTTGTCTCCTCCCCCTCTTTTGCTATTTATATAATACAGTGACCATTTGTATCCATTACTCTTTCTACTTCTGTTGATTTATTTCCTTTGGATAAAATTCTGAGAATGGAAATGTTGGAACAAAGGCCAAAACATCTTCATGGGTATGATTTATTATAGTATTCATTTCCAAAGGGGTACTATTGATTGAGATGCACCTTCATCAGTACCAAGTATTATCATCTTTTTTAAGTATTTTATTGCTTAACAGGTATAATGTAATGTAAGCTCAGGTTGCCTTAAGTTGTATTTCTTGGATTATCGACAAGGGTGAATGTTTCTCTGTGTTCAGTGTCAGGTTGTCACTATTGGGAATTATTTCTTCATAAATTTATATATATGTATTATTTAAAAAAAAAAAAAAAAAAAACCTCACTGCCATCTCTGACTCAGAGACTCTCCAGTATGTTCCTGATGCAGTAAATCTTTACAGAAGTAGGTTGCCTGTCTTCCTTCCATGGAGCATCTGGTGGGTTTGAACTGCCCACCTTCTGCTTGGTAGTCAGATGCCTTAGGCACTATGCCACCAGAGCACCTTATATATAGGTACAGGTATAATATATATAAATGACTGATAAATTATGAAACTGTATATTGAGATTATGTATGTGGTTTGCCAACATTTTTCCACCTTATTTTATGTAACAGATTTATTAATCTGTTCAGGTTAATAAACTTGAGTTTGATGACTGACATAAGGTGGATGACATTTTTAAGATGGCGGGGTACAAGATAGTGCAATGTCTTAATGAAGTCCTTGGCTTTTTACTTTTAGACTTTGGCAAACGTTTTGTGTGGCAAAAAGCAAATCGGCTATGTGTAAGGCCCTGACAAAAACACAGTAGACAACAGTAGAGACTATTTTGTTTTTCCTCTAAATTTGGAGATGATGAAATTCATGAAGGTAGTTTACTACCCACCCCCCCACACCATCTCCACCAAAGACACAGTTATGACCTACCATGCCTGCTGACTCAAGCTCAGTGCATAACGGGGTCCCTAACCAATGTCACCTAACTAGATATAGTGAGTGACTACTCCACAATACAACTAGGTTACATGCTAAGTTTGGAAAACTCCAGAAAGATCTCCAGAAATCCAATTTCTCTTTAGGACTTTTCTTGGAACTAGCAGTCCCCCTCCCCTGACAGCATGGCAAAAGTAATTAATACACACATCCAGCGCTTCAGAGAATAAAATAATAGCATGGATGTCCAGACAAGATCCATGTCAGGTAAGATGTATGTAAATCCCATGGAAGGTACCATGCTTCATGTTTCATGTCTATCCACCGAGTCTCGGCGACATTGGAGCTGCATGTCTTCCCCTTGTGGAGAATCCCCTCGCCCCCATTTCTCTCTCCCCAGCTCCTACTTCCACAAGCACTACCAATGACAATGAATAACTGTGCAAAACCACACATTTCCCTTCTCCTTACATCTGAGTAATTCCTTTGTTTAGCCACTCTGGGAACACGAGAGTTTTTAAATAAAGCTGACTGGTGTTTAAAGGCACTGTGTTCTGGGGGTGCGCACAGCATGGAGTACTGTGCTTTGTAGCTCCTTTAGCTCCCATCAGGATGAAAGTGTAATGCCCCAAAGCCGTAATTATGGGACTCCTTTCTAGTATTTCAAAAGAAGAAACGAAATGTAGTGGTATTTGAGTGTCAAGAAAAGGGTAAGCATGAAGAGTTCTGTTTCAACAGCACATACGAGCCGGGCTGCCTTACCAACAAGGTCTTTTAAACCTTGCTGTAAAGTTGAAGGCTTGATGTAGTCCAACAGACTGGAACAGTTAAAAAAAAAAAAAAAAAATTGCATCATAGCACAGTAATGCATATTGGATAAGAATGAAAACTAGGGTATTACAGAATTCACTTAATGGAAGTAGGGGTCAGTAGGACTAACTATCTGGGACACTGATAGCAGGCATAGGGGATCTGCTGTTGACATATAATTACATTCAGCAAATAGTGTAAACTTGTGTGGTTTGAGCAACATACAGTCTGCAATTCTGACATCTTCATATAGGGTTGCTTTCAGAAAAAGAAAAAACAGCAGAAACCTGTTTGTTTCATTAAAAAGTCTGCTGTAAGACGTATTGGTGATACTGAGGTTATTTCAAAGTTGTTAAATTAAGTCAGAGTGGTGCTACTTTGTATAGCAGAATTAGCATTGTCCTAAAACTGTTGCCTGTGAGGTTTTTATCCTAATATCTCTTTTTTGGTCATGAGTCTTTGTATGAAATAATAGGAATTTACATCATCAACTAAAGCTCAGAGTTTTTATAGATTATGAGAAATATTATCTCTTCTATTCAGTAACTTCAGACATTTTTGCTCTAATGGGTATTTATTGAAGTAGCTTATATGCCAATTTACATTTGCTCTGAACTTCCTCAATTATCTGTGTAAATACTCCTGTCATCACAATGATTTAAAGATGAATACAAGTGTTTTATAACAATAAAGTCAGAAACACCAGGTTGCTCTAGAAAGGATGAAATACAGCAGCATCACTGTGAAAGATAAACACATTCTTAAAATGTGAAGTAAATGCTAAGAGTCTGTTCATATAAATTAAAAATGATTATTTCCATCTTTAAAGATCCTTTTCAAAGCACTTTGGGCATGAAATTCAAATGCTAGGAAATCAAATTTCAGATTCCCTGAACCCTCCAATTATGCTAGCAGAAAGCCCCTCCACCCCACAAATAGTCATCATTAGATGACAATTCATTCTGTTTCTAATTGCTACAGGTCATATTTACCATTCCTATCAAATTATCTTAAAATAAAATGCTGGTCAGTAATTCAGAAAGAACATGTAGACAAGGGGGCCTGTTCCAGGAGCTGACAGTATTACAAACATTGAATTGCTTTATTCCCTTCAAGAGGGCAAGAGTTTCATGGAAATGCACTACACACCAGAGGCTGTGTCATTCTACAGCATTCTCTGCGAATCCAATCACTTGGGATAATGTGGTTTCTTTTCTCTGTTTCCTAATTTTCCCGTGGGGGAGGGGATTGTCTATAGGCACCCCAATTCCTTCCCCTCACTCCCCTTGCAGGGTACCCCAGTTACAGCCCTTTTCTTACTTTATTCAGCCCTGGTGCTGGTCACATGCAGCCTGGCCAGCCATTGCCTGGCCCTTCATTCAGTTATATGTGCACTCATTATCCTGCCGTCTGCTGCTATAATGCTCCTATTAATTTTCCTTTTGATATTTTAAGAGCATTCTATAAATCACGCCGCCTTTCATTTGTGCCATCATTAATGCTTGGTCATAATGCTTCAGCGCCCCATGCACAGTGATGCTTATCACCAACCAAGTAAACAAGCATCTTCTTTTCCCTGCCAGCTCAGTAGGCCTGAAAGGGGAATAAACTGCAAACTTTTTCATAGTAGATGTATACTAATTTGAGGAGTGGAAAAGGGAGTGTGGCTTAAATAATGGCCTTGAGATTGCAAAGGAAGAGAGAGATAGCAAATGTGTTTCCCGTTTTACTGGTGTGTGCACTCGTAGGGCTGTATGAAGCTGATGGCTTTGATGGGAAAGTTAGTAAATGGTCCTTTTATCCAGTAACCGAGCTAAACATTCCCAGAAGCACAAACTTCTAACTGGGCTGTAGGAAGTTAGAAATTGCAGAAAAGGTGTGAAAACTGTCAGTGAAGGGCCTGTGCGACCATCAAACAGTGAGCCTGGGCCTAAGGCAAAGATCTTTTGGAGGGACAGTACTCACATGGCTTGCATAGGGGATCGGCCTGGACTGCTGTCACTCTCGTTGCTGTTGGTATGCTCCATGGCGCCGTTCAGCTCTTCCCGTATGGCGCTGGCTAAGTTGCCCAGAGTGGGATTTCCCATGGAAGCGGTAGTGTATAGAGGTATACTGTTCTCAGCCATTGAAGCCTGCCACCAATCAAGAGAAAATTTATGAAGACGTAGGGTAAGCACAGACAGTGAAAATATTTGTGGGCATATGCGGTAGTCTGCAATTTAAGCTCAGTGTAGTATGGCTGGCGAGCATAAGTGTACAGGAATTGGTGTCAAGCATGAGACTTGTGGCACATGTTCCAAGCTTGGTTTCGATGAGCTAGCTGAGGGGGGACTCAATTTGGGCCTTCTGGGTAGTCACATGGCTTAGGTGAGGCCATCAAATATGAAGTTTAATGTCCGATGCCTTTTTTTCAAGAGGACGTGAATATTTCCAGATCACAGGGAAATATAATGGGATTTTCATTTCTTTATCCACTTTGATGACTCTGCTATTGGATATTAGATCAGATTATTCTGGCTGCACAGCTCAAACTTATGAGAACTTCCATAAACAGTTACCTCTTAGATCCTATAGAAACAGAAGTGATTATGGAATCGGAATCAAGTTTTATCTTTCTTCCCCCCTTCTCATTTCCGTTTTAATGGTTTTCAAATCTGTTTAGCGTAGTCTGAGATAACTGGTTGAAGGTAGCAACCATGCAATCTTTCAGACTCAGACCAATCTCCTGGAATTTTAGGACTGAAGGAAAATATCCCTGGCAAAAGGGAGGGGAGGTCTAAATCTTATTTCTTTTTGATATTTTCAGTGTGTCCATATTAAAGGTGACAAAGTCACTCTAAATGAGTGTCAGCAAAAGAAGTATGAAAATGGGGGGGGATGTTAAAAAGAAATTGTAAACTTGCTGGTGGGACATTATTCACTTCCTGTCCTACTGCACTTGAATAAACTGGCTGCCCACTTTGAAATGCAGGCAATAGTCAAATAGAACACTAGATGCAAGTAGCCATATTTGTTTCATTTGGGGAGTAATTATGACCCAGTGCCTTTTCATTTTCTTAAAGAGGACAGACTTTCAAAAACTGGCAGCTGTAATTAGACCAAGATTTATCAAAACTGTCCTTTTGCAGACTACACTGTGCCTGCTTTTCCATCCTAATGAGAAACAAGTGCAATCACAAGACAATCTGGCATGGTGACTTCAATTGGCCAGTCATACAAGAGTCCAAAATATTCTAGAAATACATTCCAGAAATCCTGGCTCAGAAGAAAAAAGAGCCAAAAATGAAAACAGAAAGGTTGCAGAGCTAGGCTGCAGGATCTGCCTCTTAGAGCAGTTGCAGTCTCCCTTATAGTATAAAACTCAAACCCACAAATGCCTTCTAGATCTGAGCCTCGTGTTGGAAGACCTACCCACACCAACACAGTGTTGGCTAATGAACTATTTCCAAGTCAGGTTTTCCTTCGTATCACTTCAGATTTTGTGTATCTGCCTTCTTTTAAAAGTCAGAAAAAAAAAATTTCTAAATGTGGGGAACTTATTTTGATAAACAGTCATTCTGAACATTCACCTATAGTTTGTTAAATAATTTGCATTAAGCACTTTTAAAATCCCCACCCCCCAGCAGAACAAGGAAGAAAAGCAGAATTAGTATTTTCTTTGCAAACTGCAGCTGGACAAGCATCTGAACTGCCTGTATGTGAGAGAACACAGTGGCCACGCCTCTCCTAGCCATGGACGTTCTGCTAGGCTGATCCTCCAAACTTCCTTCCACTGGAAGTATCACAAGATAATCTCCTGTTGCACGGTAAGACTGTGGGCAAAAAATGGGATCATCTCTAGCTTGGTATTCTAGTACCTTCCCTTCTTGAGTCCAAAACTGAAGTCCAGTTGAAAGGTAAGTTTCACAGGGAGGTTAACCAATTTGCCAGTTTACCTGAGACTTTCTGGGGTTATTGTATTTTCAGTGCTGCAAGTGGGAAAGTCCCAGGCAAACCAGGATCACTGTTTGTTCTGTTTGGTTCTCAAAGTGTTCTGATGAAAGTCATTTCTGATAGGGATAAATATATGGCCTGATGCTCTAGAGTCACAGTGGTGAAATGCATCTGACAGGCTAACGTACTTAAATTGATCCGTAAAGATTACAGCTAAAAAAATCCCATGGAGAAGTTCTACTCTGAAATAGATGGGGTTGCTCTGAGTTGTAACTGACTCGACAGCAATAAGTTTGGTTTTCTGGTTGTAGATGGAGCTCTGGTGGTATAATGGTTAAGGCATTTGGCTGCTAATCAAAAGGTCAGTGGTTTGAACCCATCAGATTCTCAATGGGGGAAAAGATGAGAGAGTTTCCCCTTCAGGAAGATTTACAGTCTTGGAAACCCTATGAGAAAGTTCTTACTCTGGACTACCATGTTGCCAATGAGTCACAATGTGGTGTTTTGATCCTTGCTTGTCAGATCAGGAAGATGTAAGTAAAGAAAAACAAGCTTGTCCTTTTTGCTTTCCAGTTGATCCCAACTCATGGCAACCCCATGTGTTGCAGGGTAGAACTGTGCTCCATAGGGTACACCTGGGATCGCCATGAGTCATAACTGACTGGATGGCAACTGCTTCAGTTTGGCTATGCCAGCCATAGAGCCATTTGAAAACTCTATTGAATGATCAAGCAAACTAACCCACTTAGGGCTAGAATCATTTTCATCAACTGCTTTTGCCTAAAAAAATGGCTTTTTTCTACTTTGAAGCAGGTGAACAATTTTTATAATAGACTTAATCATATAAATGGTCCTATGCACAGTATGAAGCAGCTCAGGTAGTATACAGATTAAGGCACTTGGCTGTTAACCAAAAGGTCAGTGGTTCAAATCCATGAGTGGCTCCATGGAAGAAAGATCAGGCAGTGTGCTTCCATAAAGATTTATGATCTTAGAAATCCAGAATGGGGGTCACTATGAGTTGGAATCTGAGTTAGAATCAACTTGATGGCAGTGAGGTTGGTTTGTTTTTTGGTATGCACAGTATGAGAGGCATCCTATCAAACTCAAATTGGTACTTTTGCCAAACAAACAAACAAGAGAGCTTAAGTAATGGTGCAGAGTCTGTTAAGTACCAGTGCCCCCTGAATGTTCACCACTCTGAGAGCCTCTGGAGGGAAAGGCAGTCTATAAATATGAAGCTTTACCGTTACCCTTAGTTACTTCACTTTTTCAGAGCATAATGCAATCTGTCCCAAGTCCCATGTTTTATTTCTGTAGTGGATCCTGCTGTCCTATTTTATATGTTGTATATCATCCATTATGTTGCTCTAGTATTTTTTTTAAAGAGATTGTTCCACTATTATTTTTACTTGTCTTGCAAAATGGAAATGGGTGATCATGGGAAGAAAGGCCTGCTGGTAGAATCTTAATTTGCACAGCAGCAAGTTGTCATATGATATTGTCTGCTGATCAAGGATCCAAACTCCGATTCACTCATCAAATTAGGAACTGACATCAATATATTCACTTTGCTTCATTACAGACATTAAAATGTTCTTGGAAAACTGCCGCATAGTTTTTGGGCTAGCCTAGGAAATGAGAAATGAGAAAGGGGGCAGAAAATGCCAAAAACAACTGGTACAACTGGTTTAGGAATGATAACACTCACTAATTGAAATTAGTCACGTATCTAAGAGAATCCAGAGGATGGTGGATCACTCCCTTTCTGCCTCATATGTATTGGTAATCTTAAAGCCTGCTCTGTGTGGAACAGTATTAAGTTCACACTTCACAAGACTCCAGGGAAAATAAGTTACTAATGAGTGGTATTCTATAGTGATGGCATCTAAGCTTGCTTTCATCTGGTTTGCTAAAGTTACTGTGTAAACTCTGCAAGTCAAGTAATTAAAAGAAACACAGAAAATTGTTTCTTCGATCAAATTTCGGTTCAGGCTGAAACTTAAATGATGATTGAAATGGTAACTGAAATGTAAGTTCAGTGAATTTGTCTCTGAACCGTGGCAAACCACGGCAGAGGGTAGATGCTCAGTAAGCATTTGGTTCATGAATACAGACAGAGAAGCAGGGCTCCCTTATCTAAACCATATAAACACATTGCCACTGAGTGGATTCCCAACTCACAGCATTTCTTAAGGCTGTAATAATTTTGGAAGCAGCCTGCCTGCCTCATTGTTCATTGGGTGAGTTCAAACTGCCAACCTTTGGTTAGCAACCCAGTGCTTTCAGCTTCCCCCGCCTCTCATTTGCCATTGTGACCTTTTGGAAGCAGAACACCTAGCCTGTCTTTTGAAGTGATGTACCTCAAACACCAACTTTTGGTTAGCAGTCAAATGCCTTACGCAATACACTTCCAGAGCTCCCTAAGTGCCTTGGTGGGTACAAACTGCCAGCCTTTAGTAAGTACTTATACCACCCAGAGACCCTGAATATGTCATTTAAGAGTTACCAAAATTCCCTTGCCCTGGTCCTGCTGCAGCTGTTTCAGTTCATCTTCTAGAAGAGCTACAGGAGGGTACTGCTTACCTATGTTATGCATTTTGGGGGGATGTCAAGGAGGTAATACTAGAACATTCTTGTAGATTTAAGAGATAAGATGACTTTTCTCTGTATTAACTGAGAAACAGAATAAATAGGAGGCATGTTGGAGGACAGACCTACCCTGGTTAAGCCCTAGATGTGAGATAATCTCACTCCTGCTCCAAAGCACTGTCTTCATCCCCCAGTACATTTGTTATGTAACAAGTGCGTGGTGTGTGTTGGGAGGAAACAAACATTCTGTGGCTTAGCTTATTATGTAATCTTGAGCAATCTGCTCAAAACCTAAAGGGTTGCTCTGAAACACCTCTTTTTCTTTCACACAAAACATTTTACTTTTTATAAAGTGAACCAACCCTAGATCCATTCTCTGGACAAGCGATGCAAAAATAGACTTTAGATGCACAAATAGACTTTAAAAGAAGAAAAAAAAAGCTCTGCTTTCTCTTTAAACCTGTGAACAATAGAAGGTCATGTGACACAGTGGCCTATCATCCAGCACATTAATAGCTGTGCTAGAGTAATTACACTTGTGGTATTTTTGCCTCAAGTGAAATTCTGAAATAAGAGGATGGAAATTATGATACTGCTGATAAATATTAATAAGTGAACTTTTAATTTTTTTGCCACAATATTCAAAATGCTAAGCATCCTGCTAATGCTGAAGCAGCCCGATGTGTTTGCCTCCAGGGAGCACGATGCTTTGTGCACTTAAGAAAAAAGTTTAACGGAATTAAAATTTAATATCTAATTAGAGCGAGGCTAATATATTTTGAAATGAGTGGGGGAAGACATGTGCCTCTGTTGCATATTTGGGACAGCCATTAATCTTACCTGTAAAGCCGCATTGAGAGGTGTGCAGTAGGCGTGGCTGCTCTGCATGTTTTTAATAAGGGAAGGGTTACTGCATAAGAAAAAGATAGAAACCCAAAGTTAAACGCAATCAACTCCCAAGTTCTCAGCTAAGTTTTCTTTCAAGCTTAGCTGGTATCCTTCCAAAGCAGAAATTTCCCCCAGTGACTAAACCAAAGAAAAGTTAGTAAGGCTTTATCTCTCTATCCCCTGCTTTTTAGATAGTATTTAGATAGTAGATAGAGCTGGTGTGTGTTAACACTTCTGGGAACAGAGAAACCTAGCTAGTGTGAAAAAAAAAAATTCTGGCTAAGTAGTAACAGGCTGGGGGACAGAAATTGTGACTTGTACATTTTGAGGAGTCGCAGGGCCAGCAAGCTGATGGCAGGGTTTCCTGGGATTGTGTGGAAAGAATCTTTGGTCTTAAGCACCTCCATGAGTCAAACTCTAGAATAATAGCGAATAAGGGCAGGCTGGCTCTGGAAGAGGAAGGGAAGAGGAAGAAGACTTCCCCAAGGCACATTCATTTAGGGCTGAGATAAGGGGGAGGGGCGTTCTTAAGTAACACAGGAGAGGGTGGGCTTCAATCTGTCCTGTAGAAGAGCCAACTAAGGGGATATGGAGAGGGAGAGGGTGTGAGGAACATTTGATGCTGTCTCCATTAATACTCGTTTTACGACTCAGAGTCAAAACACTAAATACTCATACAGGAGACACAGAAGGAAAGGAGTGGCTTTCAGGAGGAAACCATCTCTACTTAGCGGTGGCCTTTATGTTTGAAGCATTTTAATTTTTCATTTCTCTTATTATCTTGAGTGAGCAGATCAGAAGAAATTAACCTCATTACCTCATTAAATGCACATTCTAACTTTAAGTAAGCATTTCCCTTTCCTATGGGTCACTTGATTGAACGTGTTTAGTGTTTGGGTCCCCATAAGCCACTGAATTGAGATACAACCAATATTTGCATTGAAGATGTCAAAAAAGCATTATTCAAAGGCACTGGTGTTCCAAAGACAAACAAGAGCATTACACGTACAAATCACACACTTGAATTCTGTTGCAGAAAGCCATGGCACTGCTACGTGGTGAAATGCAAAACTACATGGGATGAGTCAACCATGCAAAGCCAAAGGAACAGCAGAAACAAAAAACAAAAGCAAGTAAAGGCTCTTACTGTGCGACAAGCTCGTCAAAGTTTTCATCGGGGCAGTATTTGCGAGGACGGCCTCGTTGAATATGGCGGCCACGTTTAAACTCTTCATCATCAACTGTCCAAAAGGACCCAAACTCATCCTCTACTCTGATAAAGCACTTATGCAGTGAGAGGTTGGTGCGAATGGCACCCTGGGATAGGAGCAGCAGCAAAGGAGATGAAGTGGCAACAAAAGGAGACGGGGTTGGGGGCAGGACAGACATCCAATACAGGGAACAGGAAAAAGAAAATAAAATGCAATAAGCATAAGCAAATGGTTTGTGAGGGTTAATATGCATTGCCACCTAAAAGCTACTAGCATGTGATGCAACAAAGACCAGCAAGCAGGGCAGGGGGACTGGTGGGCATACAAAACAGGAGGGATGAAATGCTTTTTTGCTTCCCTTAACTGAGACAACGTGAAACCAGTTCTTTGGTCTAACACCATCTAGCAGCCAAAAGCCTCTACGTTATACTTGTTAGCACAATCCAAGCTAGGCTAAGAAGTTCAAACATGGTGGACGTACCCACTGATCTTTTGTGGCCTTCGTTTTTGGAATTCTACTTCATCCACTGTCCATACTGCCCCTTTAACGTTTTCTACTCGCACAAAACACTTGTGAAGGCTAAGATTATGACGCACTGCATTCTGCAGCAAGTATAAAAGAGAAAACATTATATATTTTCTATAAGAAAAGACTCCAAAAACAGCAGTAAATTCAGCCTAACAGTCCATCAGTCCATATTTGTAAAACCATCCCCAAAAGCTGTATCTGCCACCCCTGTGGATGACTTTCTGGTGGTTAAGGGTGTCTTTTCCAGAAGCAAAATTTAAAAACCCAAAATTATCAATTGTACTTTAGTCCCTGGTCATAACCAACCAGAAGAAATACTTTTTAATATGCACACACGCCTGAAATAGGTGACAGCATAAATCTAAAACTATCGTTAATAGGACTTCAAAATAAGGAAACAGGTAAAGCATAAACTGTCCCCCTCTAAGGGCATTAAAATTGGGTAAGGTTTTTTTTTGGTTGTTATTTATTTATTTATTTTTGGTTGTTATTGTTGTTAAAAACTATGAAAGATGACAACTCAGGTAACACTGTTACATACAGTTTTGTTTTTGAAAGTATTTGACTGTAAAACCATCAATGGGTTTTCTCTGATTAAGAATAAAGTAGATTTTTACTTTACTATTGAGAGTGTATCACCTCATGTCAATGAGAAGCAGCCCAAATGGTGCAATATCCATCTCCATCATCAAGCTGTGTCTTACCTCCCCAAATATATCTATTTGAAAATTGGCCCTTACTATTGGCAAAGTACCTTAAGTGAGTAAAAATGCCAAAGGAACATGTGGCTACAGTTGTCACTGGCAAAATGATGCTATGCCCGCAGATGATGGTTTCTTGTTATCACTATCACTTCTGGTCATTCCTAGGCTGAGACCTTTGATAGCAAGCTCTCAGAAAGGAGGCTCTCATCTTTCCTTTTGGTTTCAGGAGAATCCAAAATCCTTACTGGGTATCGTGATAAGATAGCCCCTTCTCTTCCACCACCTGTTAACACTCCCTCACTGCGTTATCCTTAAAGGTGACCAATCTTGATACTTTTTTTGATAGGTGTTTCTTACACGTATAGGGTGACACTGTGGGGGTCCAAACTGGAGAAGGATGATCTTTGCTCTCCAATATGGAATATTTAAAAGATGGTGAGAAATTTTATTGCATCGAGTAGAGGACTGCTCACAAGGACAAGTGTTTGAGCAATGTCAGCATAACTGGGGTAGGCTAAAGATGCCAAGATGACTATTACAATCAAAAATGTTTGGTAGGTTTTCTTAAGAAAACATCTACTAGAATGTATAATTAGTAGGACAAATGTCTTTGTGTTTAACATGTAGCCTGGCCTTTAAATAAGCTTTTCCTATTGCATAAAGGCACAGCATAAGGCTCTGAAGCTGTCTCCCAGAAAACCATCAAGGAAGTTAAAATAAACAAACAAAGCTACCCAAAGTTACTTAAGAAATCCAGACAGAACATGTATACATATAGGAGACACATCTTACATCTTGGGCCTGGGGCGAGGAGAAGAACAGCATTTCTTCTCAACCTAACCTAACTGTTTTCTGATGTTTTGTAATAATTCACCACAGTGTCAAAAAGTATAAGCAGTCTACAGAAGCTGCTTCTGGGAGAAAACTATTTCTGTAGATCCACCTGCGCCTTAACTTCCCAAGGCTATACATCTAAGCATAAAGCAACGAGAAACCAAGAGCTTTCTACAAGGATGATTAAGCTCTATCTTAGTCATAACTTCCAACTGGGCGTGTCATCTTTTGTCTATGATCACAGTATACATAAGGACACGCAAGGAAACCTATGCGTATTTATGAGTCGTTAAGGACTTCATCTAGGATTGCATATATATGTTAAATTGCATATATATGTTAATGACATTTTGCCTACAGTTTGAAAAACTGAAACATGGAAGTCTGCAGATCTGAGCTTAAACATCACCTTCATCCTGTGTTTGGAAATTTTTAAATTTGAGCATTTGTATTAGTACTATTAAATAAAAGGCAATTTTCAAGAAACTGTCTAAAGCATTTTTAACTAAAGAGACTTTGTAATTTATTTCCCAAGTCAGGCTGAGGATTTTGAAAACATGTTCCCCTCAGCACCCAGGTGGCTTCATGGAAATGAAAAGATAGAGATTCATAGCTCTGAAAAGTTGAGGAATTAATTCAATGGTCACTTCATCTTCTTTAAAAACTTATCAAGAACTTAGAAATATTTTCTCTCATATAAATTTATTAAGGAATGCACCAGGAAAACATTCATTTCAAGCAAAACAAGTTTTCCTGGCATAATGAATCCCTATTTAAAATAATGGCAACTGAAATAATCCTAAAATGGTTGCATTTTGCCTAGAGTGGAGGGTTGACAAAAATTCCAGGTACTAAAAATACAATAAATAAATGGAAAGAGGGGAAATCTAAATACCTGTGAGAGCTTACTCTACTACAACAGAATAAACAGTAACAGAAGTCATGAACCAAGTGTGGAATGAGGTACGTCCTGTGACCCTAGGCATTGCTGGGGACATTCAACATGGACGTATGGAATCTGACCTGTTTTATAACAAATGATATAATAATGATGCTATATAATTCAGAAGCTACTTTTCTTCCTGGGTGTTTCTGGTTCTCTGAGGGACAATCAATCTCTCAACTTAAAAACAATCATTTTAATCAACAGTACAAGTACAGTAACTCCCACATACTAGTGCTAGTTCAGTGCTAGTTCTTGCGTTGTATAGCTGTGCTACAAAAAAAGTTAATGGGCTTTTATCCAACCAATAAAGGCTGTATCAGGTTTGTCTGATCATTTCTCCAGGTTCCAAATGATTAGAAAATGCCTCTCTGCAAATATTGGCTGTGCTAAAAGAATGACTTTGGTGTTAAGCTGCAGAACACCCTCAACATCTGGGCAACGAGATGGTTTTACCAGTTGGCCCATGTGATCCCAAGTGTTCCATGGGAGCATTTCAACCACAGTGGAATGGTCTCCTCAATCAAACATTCCTATAGTTGAGTATAGCAAAATAACACAACTTCCTTATACTACAACTACTTTACTTTTTGTCAACAAAAGATTCTACTCTATAAATGGCAACGGTCAAGAATAAACACGCCTCAGAAAAAACTTACCTTCCACGTGGCTGCATTGCGCCGGAAGTAAGCAAACATTCGTGTGAACCAGTTATAAATTTCGTTTAGTGTTAGCTGCTTTTCTGGAGATTCAAGAATGGCCTGTCAAGTGAAAAGCAACACAAGAAGGTAATTTATGACCAAATCAGCAGAATCATCATTATGCAGTTTCTTGAAAATAAGAAATAACAGTGATTCAGAGCTAAATCCTAAAAAAGATTTTACAAAATGATCTAAGATTAATGGTTGCATTTAACAGTTCAATAGCAGAATTCAAAATGGAATTATCTAATTGTTTTGAGTTTTTATTTCTGTTTCTGTACAGAAATATTAATTTATTAGTCATTCACAAAGCAGAATCAAAGAGAAATGCAAAACATTTCACTAGCTGATTAAAGCTCAGTAATTATTTAGAGCTCAGATTAATTCTAGGGATCAGAGATTACTGTAGCTTGTGATAATTGACTTGCCATCTTTAAACAGGCTCATTTTCACTGTTGTGTGAAATGAATTTCCTAATAATCACATCGTATTGTAATACTTAATCAAAAGCAATTATGTTATATATTGCAGTTTTAAAAAACCTTATAGAAAAGGTTCGAGCATGCTTGCATACTAAATGGTTTTAAATTTACTTCATCAATATAACAGATCCCTGTATATGTACACCTTTGGATATAATTTACTTACCTGCCTAATTAAAGATGCATATGTAAATGGTGGTCTAACTTCTGCATTCTTATAAAACTCTTGGTTCTGCGCAATATCTGCTAAATAAGAATCATTGTCCTATTAATTATCACTTTTTATAAAGAGGCTGATCTATAAGAATTGAATAATACAAATCTACATAAGGCAAAACTGAAGTATCTACCTGAAGAAATGGGCACATTGTATTTGTCTGAGTACCGCCGGCGGATTGGGCCCACCGTGTGCATGCTGGTGGTGGTGATGACGGAGGGGCCTTGGGTGACAGGAGTGATGGGGGTGGTTGGGGTCGTTGGAGTATGAGGTAAGCTCTGTGGAGAAGCCTCTGATGCAGACTTGGAGAGTGTGACACTTGATACCAGGTTCAGCTGTAATGAAAAGAATAATTATTAAAGCTAAGGCCACTTCCAGAGAAACAGAACCACCAAAAGGGAATCTAAAATAAAGCAAGAATACCACAAGGTCTGCATGGCTAGCTTTACATCCAGGAGTAAATCACTTTATCCATTACAAGTTGCTGCCAAGTCGACTCACAGCAGCACCATGGGTGCCAGCAGAACTGTGCCCTATGAAGGGCTTTCGATGGCTGGCTTTTCAGAAGTAGATGCCTGGCTTCTCTTTGGCGGTGCCCTTGGGTGGACCTGAAGCTCCTCCAATCTTTTGGTCAGCAGCCAACAGTGTTACACCTTGCACCACCCAGGGACTCTAATATGTTTATGATCAAGGGAAACAGAAGATGAACTCCCATGTACAAACAAGTCATTTGCTATTTAGAATATTATTTCTTGCACTACTCTCCTTGCTTTCTGGTGAGACAGGTTTTTTCCAAAGGCTGTAAACACCTGTTTAACAGACACAAAACAGGGTTGCCTAGCCAAATGAGTTTGAAATTACTGGGTCAAAACAAATGTCTTTAATTATAACTTCTGTCTTCACCATCCTAATATGCCTTGGAAGCTAGAGTCCTTGTATCACCAATGCAGACTCATGTTTCAGCAAACACCAGGTGGAATACATTGGTGTACATCTGAACCATCCAAAAGAGTTGGCCACACTGATCTGCTAGTACAACTGAGCAACTGTTTTTACTTAATTTTTGCTGCATTTAAATAGTCATAGGTGGAAAATGGCTACTACACTAGACAGCACAGGGAGACAGGCTATGCAGGTCCATAATGAAGCTTTACAGACAGGAACTACTGGAAATATGTTTGGCCCATGGCTCATACCAAAAAGAGGGACACAGATCCAGGAAGACTTCATTTATTTCTAGCAGTTGGCAGAGACTAATCTTTAAAAGCTTCAGGTGTAATCTTCATTAATTTCTCTCAAATACGGGATAGGAATTTATTAATTTAAAAAGAATATGGCATATGAGAGAGATGAAACTGTAGGGATTTTTCCTTCCATCTTTGATGCTCTGGAATATAACAGAATAACCTAAGGCATCAAGTAAGGAAGTAAACATTTATGTATTTAAAGTAGTTTAAAAGAAATGAATGGGTATTGTTTTCACTCCATCTACCTACCTACCTAAGGAGCTCTGGCGGTGTAGCGGTTAAGGTATTTGGTGAATAACCAGAAGGTCAACGGTGCAAACTCACGAGCTACTCCATGGAAGAAAGATGGGGCAGTCTGCTTCCATAAAGATTTACAGGCTTGGAAATCCAATGGGGGGTGAATTGACTCCATGACAGTGAGTTCAGTTTGGTACAGCCTACGTATTTTATCTACCTAACCAGCTAGCTAGCTAGCTACTCCATTTCTTTCACCTTCACCTCAAAGTGCTGTTCTTATAAATGAGCTTATCCCCAATTTCAAAAATTGTTGTACAGAAATACTATTTATATCTGGCTGTGACGAAGAACTCGACTGCTTCCAGGTTACAAATAATTGCTATCTCAGATATGCAAAGCAGCCCTCAAATCCAAGAAACTTCACCAAAGTAGGTTTTGTTGTTGTTCTCGGTGACATTTTCTCAAACCAGATTTCAAATTACTTAACACAATAAATCTATTTCACAATTACTCCAGTCCTAAGTGCAAGGTATTATTTATGGAAGCTATTAAAAATGAGATTGCCTTGTGATCATAATCAAAGAAGACATTAAAACAGAGCTCCAATTTGTTGAGAAGACTCAACCTTCACTCATGCTCTAGTACTGAAGAACCATCTCTCATATATTTAGCAAAGTTCCACGAGAAAACAAATCAATGTGGAAGGGAAAAAAAAGATCCAATATTATTGGGGAAATAGTAATGGAAATATGAAAACATGGTGCCGGAAATTATAATGTTGGGTTGATAGCTGCTAGTTATTGCTTTCCTTTTTATTTTCAGCTTGAAATGTTGGCTTGCCAGACAACAAAGACCAATGCCTGAAAACAAGGTATGGTGATGGCATGGTCCTTAAAAACAGCCCATCCAGAGATGCTATGAGCTGCTTTCTCAACAGTGGCAGAGACCAACTTCAAGACACATCTGCAAACTAAGCAACACCACCACCTGGTTGGAAGCTCCGGAAAGGAGCTGAGTTGAGAGGCCAGGGAGAAAGGTTGGTGGCTGAGCTCTTTTTGCCTGGATCTTAATCGCTGACCACCGTCAGGGACATACAACCATTGGCCCAAGCAAAGGTTCAAGACAATCAGGACACAAAAGGCTAATGCTCAGAAATACACAGGTTGATGCTGAGGCTTAGCTAAGAATAGATGAACACTTTGGAAAGCCAAGAGTGAGATCTATAAAAATCATGTTTTGAACCATTTAATTATCATATGGCCACTAACAACTACCATGTTATGCCTCATATCTCAGATGAGCAAACTGAGGCTTGGAGACATTAAATAACATGTCCATATTCACAACGTGAACCCAGTATCAAATACACACTTGTGTGATTTTAAAATCTTTTTATAATCATCTTCTTCTGCCCAGTGAACAGAAAAATAAATACTAAATAGTTTTTTTTTTTGTATGCTCATTTCTTGAAAGGATTCAGTGAAGAGCTTTGACCCCTGCATATGACTGTGATATGATAAATACCTACTGATCAAACATAAGGCACTTGGCACTGCAGGGAGGGAAAACAGAATAAAGCTCACAACTGCTGGCCCTGTAGCACTTACCATCAAATGGCAACTGTGGCCAGCGAAAGCATGCCCACCAACCATAAGCAATCCTGTGGACTAAAGCTCAACTCTTAGGTTTCTCTTTTCCCATTACCCAAAACATCTTGGCTTTCTTCAAAAAGCAAAACGAAAGCTTTCCTATAAACATAAGTACCCTTAAGAAATATGCATGTTAATTTCCAGTTTTGTGAAGGAAAAGAATAATCACCAAATCCACCGGATTTTCATTTAACTGCCACCAATCAACATGCAAGTAAACATTCAGCACTGGGAGGCCATCTTCTTGGGTGCCCTCATATAAGAAGAGCAGACAAGCCACACAACATGATAAAACGATGTCACCAAACGCAAAAAGAATTCAACAACTGTAGCTTACAAAGCTTTAGCATTTGGACTGTTTCTTGCAAAAAAAAGCTACAGTGAAAAGAAAATCCCTCCAGGTTAGCATGACCCAGGAAGAGAGAGACCCAGGTAGGATTTCCTGAGGCTTCTGAGGTAGCAACTGGAAATAAAACACTAAGCCAGAAGAGAGCAGAGAGGGGGCTTACCAGGCTTGACAAATGACACCGTGATTCACACCCACTGCTGGGCTGTCTCTAATAAGCCACAGAGGAAGCAGCCAATCTCAGCTAATTACCAGATAAAAATGTATTGTAAGGACTCTAATTAGGAGACGTGTATGGAGGTGATCTAATGATTAAATGCTGCATTCGAGTGACCCCACCATCAATGTGCAGTGGTGCAAGATGTCACTGGAATATTTTGTAGAAACAGTAATTTTATTTCGAGGAGGAGAGGCAGTAATATTTGTAATGATGGCTATGAGGTAAACTAATTAAAAGACAGTTCTCCTAGAGGAAGAGTGTGGCTGAGAACAGCTGTGGCCATTCCAAAACCAAGTGCCAAGTCTCAATAGAGGAGCGGCAGTCAAGTGGAAAATTTCTGCCTGACCTCTGCCCTTGCTATTAATTTGCAGGGAAACTAATGACACATATACATATTCCCACAAAATTGTTCTAATTGCTAATTTGCCAAAGGAGCCCAGATTCCAAATTAAACATGACTGTAGTCTGTGAGGGAAGGAAGAACAAAAAGCTGTAAACTCCAAACAGAGGGTGCTTTGCCTCATGAAATCATCTGAAGGCTGAACCAACAAGTTAATGAAATGTCAACCTTGTCAACTGCTATAGAAGTTTCTTAACTTTTACACATTTGTTTGATGATCACATGCTCATCTTAAGGAGAAACCATCTTCGAGGGGGAAGGTCACGCGGGAGAGATAAGAGGGAACATGGGGAAGGATTCAAAACAAGCTCCGTGTTCAAACCAAACCTGCTCTTTTAATTAAGATCTCTGAGAAAAAGGGGACCAAAAAGGGAAAAAAAAAAAAAATTAATTACAGACTTAGAACAGAAGAGCAAATAAGCAACAATGTAATCTTGAAATATTCATCTTAATTGTAAACTATTAAATCTTAATATAATCATCAAGTAGAAACAAAAGCATATGGACTTCATGTTTCTGATTGCACTGAAGGTTTTAACAGGAATTTTTTTTTTTTCCCCAGTGCACGGAGCAGGAAGGGATTGGACTGGGAGGGTTTCTTTTCCTGGTGGAAAGCCTATTTTTCTTATTGTGTTCATTTTCTATTTAAAAAGAAGTTGCTATGTTTAGAAAAGTTAGTAACACTGATAGTTTGTACACGGCATGTTTCCATCATGGGATGATTTCAGCAAAGATGATCTCTTTGAAACTCTGGCCAAAAGTTAAATTGTTACGTCACTTAAACTTGCTATAGCATTTTGTTCAAAAAAATAAATTAATAATAATAATAATTTTTGGGGGGAGGGGGTGCCTTTAAGTATCATCTTTTTCCCCATTTCAGTCACATAAGGATATTTCTAGAAATCTTACCCAACTATCAGAACTGTTATCAGCTGCCTAATATCCTGGTTTGTCCTATTTTAAAAAAAGAAGAAGAAAAAGAATAAAAGGAGTCTGTAGTTTTTGAACAGTAACCTTCTCTCCCTTTTAGAGAAGATGAGTCACTCACATTTTTAAAAAATAAACAAACCGCTGATGTAAACCCCGGACAGAAACAGACTTGTAAGTATTCCCATAAGAACTCATTTTTGTTTTTGTTTGTGCTCTTGCCTCACATGAAAACTGTTTGAGAACAAAAGGCAAACCTGAAACCAAAACACCAAGGGACACAACGGCATAGTAGGGACCTTCCAGGCT